GTTGCAACAGGAAGGTTCATATACTCCTTGTGGAAATATAAAATTGGTATCATAACTTGAGAGAGCTATTTGGGAAAAAAAATGTTAGTTTGTAAATATGCATACCCTAAGGCCTGGAAATTTTATTCATCAAACATGATTGTGAAGAAAAGAATTAACAGGTTAAAATAATAAAATAACCTCTAAAAGATACACAGAAACGATTGTAGAAATCCAAGTTAAACATAGTATGAAGCCCAGAAAGCAGAGAAAATATTGGGATTACAAATTAAATTAATGAAATTAACAATAAAACAAGTGTTGAAGAACATATTCCTGTGGTCAAAAAGAGCCGAATATGATTAATGCAAGTGTGTCTCATGAATTAGGCAAATAATACAAAACAAGATTGAGACTTATTTTTGGAAAATTCTTGCATTTGTAAGACTAATTTTTTATTCCTACAAACAGTTCAGTTGAGAAAAACAGATTGACAGCAAATGATCAAATTCAGTTCTTTTTTTTTCCTTTTATTTTCATTTCTGTAATTTTTAAACACTAGAGGAACCAGATCTACAGATGACTGAGGGAGAAATTTTTGTGAATGAGAAATTACATACAGAGCCAAATGGCACTTATGAAAACAACAACAACAGCAAAACTTTATTTTGCATTTATTTTTATTTTTTTATTATTTATTTATTTTTTTGACAGAGCCTTGCTCTGTTGCCCAGGCTGGAGTGCAGTGGCATGATCTTGGCTCACTGCAAACTCCACCTCCTGGGTTCAAGCAATTCTCTGCCTCAGTCTCCCAAGTAGCTGGGATTACAGGCTTTCTCCACCAAACTTGGTTAATTTTTGTATTTTTAGTAGAGACGGGGTTTCACCACCTTGGCTAGGCTGGTCTTGAACTTCTGAACTCGTGATACACCTGCCTCAGCCTCCCAAAGTGCTGGCATCACAGGCTTGAGCCACTGCGCCTGGCCGATGTTGAGCATTTTTATATGCTGTTGGCTGCTTGTACACCTTGTTTTAGGAAGTGTCTGTTCATATTCTTTGCCCATTTTAAGTGGATATTTTTGTTCCTTGCTTGTTGATTTAAGTTCCCTGTGGATTCTTGATATTAGACCTTTATCAGATGCATAGTTTGTGATTATATTCTCCTGTTCTGTAGCCTCTCTGTTTACTGTCAGTAACTTCTTTTGTTGTGCAAAAGCTCTTTAGTTGAATTAGGTGCCACTTATTACTTTTTATTTTTGTTGTAATTGCTCTTGGGGACTTAGCCACAATTTCTTTGCCAAAGCTTGTAAAGAAGATATTTCTTAGGTTTTCTTTTAGCATTTTTATAATTTGAGCTCTTACATTTAAGTCTTTAATCCATTTTGAGTTAATATTCATATATGATAAGAGGTAGGGGTCCAATTCATTATTCTGCATATGACTAGCCAGTTATCCCAGCACCATTTAATGAATAGGCACTCTTCTTGTCAATGCTTATTTCAGTAGTTTTTGTGGAAAATCGAATGGTTGTAGTTGTGTAGGTTTACTTCTGTGTTTTCTATTCTGTTCCACTGGTCTATGTGTCTGTTTTTGTACCTGTACCGTGCTCTTTTGTTTACTGTAGCCTTATAGTATGGTTTGAGGCTGGATACTGTGATGCCTCCAGCTTTGTTCAGCAAACTGAATCCAACAGCATATCAAAAAGTTAATTCACCATGACCAAGTAAGATTTATTACTGAGATGGAAAGTTAGTTCACCACATGCAAATCAGTAAATGTAATTCACCACATAAACAGAATAAAAAACAAATCTCATACACTTGTCTCAGTAGATGCAAAAACAACCTTCAATAAAATCCAACATGGCTTCATGATAAAAATCCTCAATAGATTAGGCATTGGAGGAATGTACATCAAAATAACAAGAGACGTATGTGACAAAGCCACTGGCAACATTATACTAAATGGGCAAAAGCAGGAAGCATTGCACTTGAGAACTGGAGCAAGACAAATATGTCCACTCTTACTACTTTTATCCAACATGGTAATGGAAATTCTATCCACACACAGCAATCAGGAAAGAGAAAGAAACAAAGGCCATTCAAATAGGAAAAGAAGTTAAACTATCTGGTTGCTGACAATAAAATTCCATACATAGGAAACCCTAAAGACCACACCAAATGGCTTCTAGGGCTGATTAATAGATTAGGTAAAGGTTCAGGATACAAAATCCATGTAAAAAAATCAGTAGCATTTTTATACACCAGTAACATTATAGCTGAGAGTCAAATCAAGAACATGATCCCATTTACTATAGCCACAAAGAAAATGAAATACCCAGAAATTCATCTAACCAAGGAGGTGAAAGATCTCTACAAAAAAAAAAAAAAAAAAAAAGAAACTACAAAACACTGCTGAAAGAAACCAGGGATGACACAAATAAATAAGAAAAATTCTATGGTCGATGTAGTTAAAATGGCCCTACTGCCCAAAGCAATATACAGATTCAGTGCTATCTCAATCAAAATACCAACAGTATTTTTCACAGAATTAGAAAAATCTACTATAAAATTAATTTGGAACCAAAAAAAGAGCTTTAATTAATAAAGCCATCCTAAGCAAACATCTTTAAAAAAAAAAAAAGGAAGGAGAATGAATGGACCTTTGATGAACAGAATGACAGACTATGGCAGAAACAATGTTCTTCACCTTACAACACTAAAAACCCACATTTCCCAGCACCCTCTCCCCTTGCATCTCAATGAAACCTTGTGAATATGTTTTGGTGAAGGAAATGTTCTAGAAATGAGGTATTGTGTTCAGAAATTGAGGTTTTTTAGATGTTTCAGAAAAAAAAAAAACCTATCTAGACTAATACATAGAGAAACACATAAAACATAAATTTCAAAGAAAATTTAGCAAAACCTAGGCAGAAACATGGAAAACATAGCAAAATGAAAACAGATATTTTAATGTTATTACAAAGTTGAGTACAAGCCTAAAAACATTGAATGGGAATAAAATGTTTATTTTATATTTGAAAGTCACATGAAGCAACTCAGGTATCCCAATATAATTATTTATATACTGAATAATATTTCATCAAAATATAAATATAAATTTATATACATAGTAGAAAATGACAAAATGCAATCATACATGGAGTGCATCACACAGTTTGCTATATGTTTGCTAAATGAAATTGGTAAACGCAAATGATACAGATTTAGTGACTGAACAATTCTACATTCCACTGAATAGAATTAAATTCTACTTAATTAATGGAATGTTTGATGTGTAAATCTATTTTTCCATTTATCCTTCTAATTGCAAAGTTCCTTTCTGGCATACAGATATCAATTTTGTGAGTTTCTATGAATTGTACTATACAGAAATCTCAATAAATTCTAAAATTCAGATTTAAGAAAGGCCACACATTGGGACCTTAATATGTGTATATTTAAAAATAATGATGTGAATTAAAATGAAATACTCAAATAGATAAAAGATAATTTTTTACAAAATTTTTTTTTTGGTCAAACAAGAAATTATAACTGTAGTTATAGATAATTGTGAAAAGAAATCCAAGGAGAAAATTAGGTGTCAGATCTTCATCATGGGGTTCAAGTGATGTTTGCTAAAATATAACTGGCCAAGCCATAAATAGTCACAGTGTTCAGTCAAATATAATTAGCTTCATTTGACTTCACTACAAAATAAAGCAAAAAAAGGAGCTATAATATTTAAACATTAAAGGTAATAATTATAAAGTAGCAATGAGAAAATATTAAAGTATGAATTTAAAAAGATAAAACATAAAATTGATCAATTAAAAATATAAAACCATATGATTAATTTTTAATATTAACATGTAACTATATGTTAAAATTTCAATTAAAACAGCAATTTCTAGAAAACCTGATAAGTGGAGAAAAGAGATAAAACACATACATACAAATTTTTAACTGTTAAAATATCCACAGATAATGTAAAATCATAACTAGCTATATGAAACTTTATACCAATAAAGTTAAAAGTCTTGAAATTGATGATGTTTCTAGAAAAAACGTAATTCATGCAAATATTTTCAAGAAATAGAAAAATTAAGTTATTATTAATTGATTTAAATTAAAGTAAGAGAAAAAGGGCCACATTAAAAAATGGTACCCACTCCAGAGGTTTTATAGGAGGTGATTTATTTGAAGGTATTACAGCGTGACTAATTATCACCCATATATGGTGTTATAGGACTCAAAAGGCTATGAGCTCTTTTTGAACTCAACTCATTTTGTAAACATAATATCTCCTTGAAACAAAATGCAAAACATTATTCATTGTTTTAATCTTATTTATACACACAGAAATACTTGCACTTAATAAAATACTACTAATTCAAACACAGAGCTATAATTAAAGAGCAATTCATTATGAGCTAGTAGGGCTTTTTTAGTTCTTGAAACTTCTACTTATGTGGTTCATCACATCAAGAGAAAAGGAAGCAAAACCATATGATCATCTTGGTAGATTTCAATGAGGCATATGTAAACAGAATTAGCACCTATCCCTCATATAATATAGTTAATGAAAAGCATAAATATTCTTAGATTCATATGATGAATCATATCTATCTAAAATTTACTTATGAAGTAAATACAACTTAAAGATGGAATATAAAATGTTCTTATTAAATTCTAGAGAAACAAGAATATAGTTACTATCATCTCTAAAATTTAACTTTGTAAGTTATATTTATTATAGAAAAAAATAAAAATTCTCAAAAAAGACAACAATGTACTCAAATAATACGGTGTTCAACCTGGAACATTTAAGAAAAATGACCTGACTTTAGTTTCAAACTACAAGATGGTTCATTAACATGGTGAGATTAAAAATCATTTTAAAATCCCATGCACATATATTTCCTATATAGCTGTTTAATACATAATTAACTAATATTACATTTTAAGTAGAAATAAAAGTCTAAAGTACTGGACGAGACCAGAGGCCAAACTCAGGTTCTGATGGCCGGGCTACCCTGCAGGATCATCAAGAAAACCCAGCGTTTGCTGGCAGAGCCAGTTCCTGGCATCAAAGCAGAACCAGGTGAGAGCAGCGCCCTTTATTTTCATGTGGTCATTGCTGGCCTTCAGGATTCCCCCTTTCAGGGAGGGACTTTTAAACTTGAACTATTACTTGCAGAAGAATACCCAATGGCAGCCCCTGAAGTACGTTTCATGACCAAAATTTATCATCCTAATGTAGACAAGTTGGGAAGAATATGTTTGGATATTTTGAAGGATAAGTGGTCTCCAGCGCTGCAGATCAGCACAGTTCTGCTATCCATTCAGGCCTTGTTAAGTGCTCCCAATCCAGATGATCCATTAGCAAATGATGTAGCGGAGCAGTGGGAGACCAACAAAGCCCAAGCCATAGAAACAGCTAGAGCATGGACTAGGCTATATCCCATGAATAATATTTAAATTGATCCAATTATTAAGTATGCATCACTTCTCCTGTTCTGCCAAGACTTCTTCCTTTTTGTTTGCATTTAATGGACACAGTCTTAGAAACATTACAGAATAAAAAAGCCCAGACATCTTCAGTTATTTGGTGATTAAATGCACATTAGCAAATCTATGTCTTTTCCTGATTCACTGTCATAAAGCATGAGCAGAGGCTAGACGTATGATCTGGATTGTTGTGAAACATTTAAAAGCAGTGGTCCCTCCCCACTTTTATTCATTTCCCCCATCCTGGTTTAAGTATAAAGCACTGTGAATGAAGGTGGTTGTCAGGTTAGCTGCAGGGGTGTGGATGTTTTTCTTTATTTTCTCTTTTCTTTTCCTTTCTTTTCTTTTCTTTTCTTTTCTTTTCTTTTCTTTTCTTTTCTTTTCTTTTCTCTTTTCTTTTCTTTTCTTTTCTCTTTTCTTTTCTTTTCTTTTCTTTTCTTTCTTTCTCTTTCTTTCTTTCTTTCTTTCTCTCTCTCTCTCTCTCTCTCTTTCTTTCTTTCTTTCTTTGGCGGGAAGGTAGTTTTATTCTAATTTTATGGGCTCCTTTCCCCGCCTTTTTGGTGATCTAATTGGATTGGTTAAAAGCAGCTAATCAGTTCTTTAGAATATGCTCTCTAGCCAAGTCTAACTTTATTTAGACGCTGTAGATGGACAAGCTTGATTGTTTGAACCAAAATGGGAAGATTAAACAAGCATCACAGCGCTTACTAACAACATTGTGACTTTGCTGTCAAGTGTAGAGTCCCCCCTTCAAAAAAACTTGTGACCATTTTGTATGGCTTGTGTGGAAACTTCTGTAAATCTTAGGTTTTAGTAAAATATTTTTTGTTATTCTAAAAAAAGTATAAAGTACCAAGTAATTATAAGAAATATGAAGTACATATAGGAATAAAAATGATTTAATGATAAATGAATTGGATAAATGGAGAAAATTGTTGGAGTTTGGAAAGACTGAATGTAAAACAAACATCTGTTAGAAAAAGCAAAAAGCAACGATGGGCAGGGAAAAATTATATGCAACAAATATAGAAGGTAAAGTATACTTAATATATAAAGAGCACTTATCAATAAGAAAGAGTTCTTGTCAGTAATAAAAATTCCTCAAGAATACATGTTATATTGCTTTACAACATCCTTATATTATTATTGCCACCGTACAGATAAGAAACTGAGCCACTTTAGAGTTCATTAACATGCCTTAGATTTCCCAGAAATTTGTGGTAGTCTAGGTGTCCAAATCCTCATCTGCCTGACTTAAGAGCTCCTCTCTATTGTACTATAAGTCAACATTTGTTAATTTATTAATATTATAACTGAGCCTGATTCTTCCTGTATTTCTGCACTCACTGTAAATTAACCATTTTACAGGATAATGCCTCTCTCAACACTACAATCTTTATAATTAATCTATTTATGTAGTCATGCATTTTAATACTTTAGAATCTCAAAGTCCTGCAATAGATTTTTTATATTTTATTTTACAATAGCCATTAATTAAGTTGATCAAATAATTATTTATTGAGTTGCTACTATATGACATATATTGGCCTAGGTTTTAGAAAATTGAACAAAAAATAGACAAAGATCTCTTTCCTCATGAAGTGTTATATTGTAGTGTGAATGAGATAGACAGTAAACATAAGAGGCAAGATCGTTGTATAAAACATTAAAAGGACAAAGAGGTGTGGAGAATAATTAGGTAAAATAATAGATGGTGACGAAGGTTGTTGTGTGTGTGTGTGTGTGTGCTCATGCACTACTTTAAATAGTTTGATTAAGGCAGGCCTAAGTGATATGGAAAATTACTGGACAAAGATTCAAAGGGTTTGAGGGGGATATCCATGAGGATATCTGGAGTTAGAGCATTTCAGATAGAGGGATCAGGCAGTTCCTGATATGAGAGCATTTCTAACATGATACAAGAAAGAACAAGGCTCATGTGGTTGGAAAAATTTTAAAAAGTGAGTGAGAAGAGAGAGGAATCAAAGATGAGGTTCCAAAGCTAATGGAATTTTAGATCCTGTAGAGCTCTGTAGCACATGGAAGGTACTTGATCTTCTATTTTGAGTGAAAGTCATTAATCCATCGGATAGTATGAGCTGAGGAATGATATGAACTGACTTAAAACAGAGTCACTCTGGCTGCTGCTTGTGAATTGATTGCCTGGGGGTGTGGGGAGGGGTAAGAAAATGTAGACTTTAGGTGGGTCTCAAAATAATTCAGTGAAAAACCAGAGTAATGATCTAGCTCTAGCCTATAGGTGTGGATTGACTCTCAATGAAGTAAAAAAAAAAAAAAAAAAAAAAAAAAAAGAAACTTTTTTTTTTTTTTTTTTTGAGACGGAGTCTCGCTCTGTCACCCAGGCTGGAGTGCAGTGACGCGATCTCGGCTCACTGCAAGCTCAGCCTCCTGGGTTCATGCCATTCTCCTGCCTCAGCTTCCCGAGTAGCTGGGACTACAGGCACCCACCACCACACCTGGCTAAATTTGTTTTGTATTTTTAGTAGAGACAGAGTTTCACCGTGTTAGCCAGGATGGTCTCGATCTCCTGACTTTGTGATCCACCCGCGTCAGCCTCCCAAAGTGCTGGGATTACAGGCGTGAGCCACTGCGCCCGGCCAAAGCATTAATTTTTTTTAATGAGCTGGTCTTTTAAAATGGAAGTAAAAAACCCCACATATGCAATTTTATTTTAATTTATAACCCAGGTTATCAGTGATAAATCCACATACAATTACCTAAGTATCAGACCAAATAAAGGTAAAAATAGGCTGTAGTTTAGAAAACTTTCAAATATTAAGAACAATTAGAAGATAATTATTTATTTTCCCAAAGAACTATTCTACAAAAGTATTCACTGCCGTATTCCTTGAAAGAGTGAATTTTCTTAGAGCATTTAACTTTTCATCTGACTTATCACAAAAACGGGAAGAAAGGGCAACCAGATGCTTATAAAGTTGTGCCAACCTTGTGGGGGTGAAGAAGTCTTGGAAAAAGTGACAAGAGAGTATTTACGATTTTCCTCTTTCTCAATAACTCACTTTTCTTTCTATCTCCAACCCCAAATCCAAGTAGATAACCCTTTTTAAACTCACTATTCAGAAGAAGAATAAAACAGAAAGCAGAGAATATGAAATGTTCTTAGCTAGGGTTTTCAAAAAAAATTAAGCTTTTAGGAAATTGATATGCCTATTTTAAAAATATTTATTCTGTTAATGAAACCCTAAATCATATGCCCTATTGCGTATGTGGATTTTTTACTTCCATTTTAAAAGAGCAGCTCATTAAAAAAATTAATGCTTTGCCCTGGCACGGTGGCTCACGCCTCTGCCTCCCAAAGTGTTGTGATTACTGGCGTGAGCCACTGTGCCCGGCCAAAAAGAAATTTCTTTATGATTGTTACTTGAGATTATAAAAAAGAAAATTGATAAAATTTACTGTGTTTTCTTCAGATCGATGGCTACTTCCTGTATCTACCCCAAATGACAAAATGTCACTGATTTATATATTTTATGCTCTGTGTAAAAATTTAGTAATTTGCATGTGTCATCTTCCTCTATCCCATTTCCTCTGTCGGGGCTGGGATTTGTTTTCCAAACTACATGTGAATTGTCTTTTTTTTTTTTTTTGACGGAATTTCACTCTGTCGCCCAGGCTGTAGAGCAGTGGCGCGATTTTGGCTTGCTAAAACATTCCCCTCCCAAGTTAAAGCGATTCTCTTGCCTCAGCCTCTGGAGTAGCTGGGATTACAGGCGTGCGCCACCATGCCTGGCTAATTTGTGTATTTTTAGTAGAGACGGGTTTCATTGTGTTGGCCAGACTGGTCCCAAACTCAGGTGATCTGCCCACCTCAGCCTCCCAGAGCGCTGGGATTACAGGCATGAGCCACCACATCCGGCCATTTTTAGTTTTAATTAAGTTTTTTTTTTTTTTTTTTCCTAGCCTATTTCTAAACTCCTATCCATTGTGAGGGTTAAAAGTCTCCTCCCATTTCTAATTACATGAAGTCCATAGATATCACATACAAACTAGACTTCTCAAACTCATGCTTTCACCCGTTATTCTGAAAAACCGTGATCCATATCAACCCAAAGGATAACAAAAGTTTTTATCGCTACATTTAAAGCAAATTCAATTTTATTTTTTTTAATGTAAAAATTGAGGGAAATATGTGAAACACCTAAAGGCAAGGTCGCTGATTTAGTTGTATACTTTTTTCCTAACTTAAACAACATGGCGAACTTAAATAAGATAGGATATATGTATATATACACACACACACATATACATATCTCCATACATATATCTCACATATATATCAAAATAAAAACAGAAACTAGGCAAAATTCATCACAAAATCAGACATGCAGTTTTGTTGTGGTCTTCAATTTCTTTTACATGATTGCATTTTATTACATAAAAATGTATTTCGCCAGAAAATTATTGACCTTGTAATGAATATTATTTGAAACTCTAGAAAAAGTGTAGATATTTAGATATTTAGTCACTTTGAAAGCATACTGATAAGGAATACTTTATCATCATTAAGAGACATTAGTACACATATATATGGTTCAAGACCCAGGGCTAAGCATATACTATGTAAAAGACACAAGACGACTCTTATTTTAAAATGCTGGTAAAATAATTTGACACCAGTTCTAGTGTCAAACTATTCTGATTTTGTCCTTGAGCAAATTATATAAATTCACTGAACTTCAGTTTCTGTAACAAGTAAAGATAACACTGGCTGCAAGAAGTTACTATGTAAGTAGATAAAGTAATGTATTAAATACATAACTGCTAGCACAGAGTAGGAACTGAAGAACTGATGGTTTCCTTCCCCTTCACTGGGCCTCACCAATCAGTTGAGGAAAGAGAGTATATATACTACATGTAAATAATAAAACATAGCAGTCAGCATAGACAAAGAGTCATGTGAATAGTATTGGTAACTGACAAAACAAGAG